GCCAAGGATTTTGATGCCTACCAATTACAACAGAGGGGGAATTTCTCCAAAACAACAGAACCGGCTTGCTTTCTAGGTTCACATGGTCATGGATCCAGTCTTCCAGAGCCAGATTTTGGTAAACATCATTGGAAACTGACTGTAAAATGAGCCCTCTTTTTACTGTGTGTTTAAAGCCAGTTGCTAGGACCTTGAAGTTACAAAATAACTGTAAGCAGTTCTTTGAAAATGGGATCAGCATGCTTTTAAAGATGGGAGACAAACAAATTAATTGGTTGAGAAAAGGAAAACTGTTTTTCTTTCTTGGTTATTTAATCCAAACTTATCTAATTCTCTATCCAGGACAGTTGCTTTTCTTGCCTTTTAGCTTTACCATTTGTCCTTAGCAATTCAACAAGAGAGACCTAGAAATAAATGAAGACAAACCTCAAATCATTTCCGTTGAAACGGCATAGGGGCACAGATTTTGCAAACAATAAAATTTCAAATATATAATATACCTCAAAGCCAAACCAGTTATTTTTTTTAAAATATATTTTATTGATTTTTTACAGAGAGGAAGAGAGATAGAGAGTTAGAAACATTGATGAGAGAGAGACATCGATCAGCTGCTTCCTGCACATCTCCCACTGGGGATGTGCCCGCAACCCAGGTACATGCCCTTGACCGGAATCGAACCTGGGACCTTTCAGTCCGCAGGCCGACGCTCTATCCACTGAGCCAAACCGGTTTCGGCCAAACCAGTTATTTTGAATTTATAAGTTCATTGAGAAAAATGAGAATATTATAGATAAGTAAAAAGAGCTAACTAAAAGACTCCATACTACCACCTGGAGATAATCACAATTTATAATTTGGTGTGTACTCATTTTTCTCTGTGCATGTGTAAACACACACACTTTTCTCCACAGAAGTGGAACGGTACTATTATTTCATTCAATGTTAAATCTGTTTTCACATCAGCTTTAATGTTGTGTAATATTCCATTGTCAGATATATCATAGTTTACTCAATCTTAGTTTGTAATTTAGGTTGTTTCTAGTTTTTCTGTTATCAGCAATGTATTCATGAACATCTCTGTGGAAAGCTTTATGCTATTATAATACTTTATTTGACTGATTTACTGGCAACATAACTCATTCAGATCAATATTAGATTAGGATGGATCCCCTGAGATCAAAGGGAGAGGCAATCTGATTAGCAGGAACAATCCTATATAATAAAAGCCTAAAGTGCAAATCAACCGAATGGCGGAACAATCGGTGGAACAACTCGTCACTATGACGCGCACTGACCACCAGGGGGCAGATGCTCAATGCAGGAGCTGCCCCAACCCGCATGCTGCAGACCAGCCAAGGCGGGTGCCAGCGGGGGCCCCTGATTGCCCCTCTGGTCGCCCCACAGATCGGCCCTGATGGCCCGCCAGACCTAGGGACCCTACCCATGCACAAATTTCGTGCATCAGGCCTCTAATC